AGGCGACAGCGGGGACGACGATCCCGACGATGATTACTGCCTCCTCTCCCGAGCTCAGTGCAGTTCAGGCCAGCGCAAGGTTTTAGCTGGCGGCCCTCGAGCAGCCTCCGCTCGGGGTCCGCGAACTCTTCTGGAGACAGCAGACCGTTGTCGAGCGGGCGTCTCATTGCGACGAGCTCGCTCACGCACTCGGCCGCAGCGCGGGAGCTCGACGCCTGCGCGGGTGGACCCGAACAAATGGACCCCACATATACACCTTTATGTACGCACGGGTGCGCCCCGAAAAGCGCGCCACTGCACCCGTGCCGCGCCATTAGCACCGCCCGCGGTCGCGCAAATACCCCAGCCGTCGACCCGCGATGTGGCCGGCAAAATTCATGCGGGCTCGCGCCGACATCCCAGCCGCCCACCCGCGACTTGGTCGGCAAAACTCCTGAGGCCGCGACTGCTCTCACGGCGTGGAGATCGCGCGAACTCTCACGAGCTCGTCTGCGATCTCCTGGTAGGTCGATCCAGCCAGACAGAGGCCGCACGCGACGCCGCGCAGGAGCGGCGACAGCTGGGCGCGTGGGGCCACGGCGGGAGGCGACTCCGGCCGGGGGGCCTCGGGCGCGCGAAGCGGCCCGCGCGCGGCGTCTGCGGGAGGGCTCGAGCCTGGCGGCCACGGCGGGAGGGGCGCCGATCGCTCCGCCATCGCTCGCGCCCGCGTTAAATCTTCTGCGGCCGACGATGGCGGGGTAGTCGCGCAAAATATGCCCGCAGCCACCCGGCCCTCTAGCCCACATGACAAAAGCGTTTTCAGGGACGGCCGTCTCCGATGCCACGACGACGCGGCGACCCATTATTCACGGAACAACAACCGGGTCAACATCCACGACGCTTTGGCTTTTATCGAAGATTATGGCCTGGGCGGTTGCGCAACGGCCCCGCAATTACCCGGCCGCCGTCGACTTCACATGGGTTTTGATCGGGACGGCCGTCTTCGACGTCACGGCGACCCGTTATTTACGCAACAACTACCCGGGCACTCCCACCGCGCCTTGTTTTTTTTTTGTTTGCGAAGGATGATGGCCCGGGTAGGTGTTCCTTGACATTTTCCTGAAAGTAAGAGGTTTTTGCTCTTCTTTGTTTAAATAAATTCTACAGCGACCCAACTACCCGGGCCACCATCTATACAAAAAAGCGCGGTGGATGCGCCCGGGTAGTTGTTATGCAAATAATGGGTCGCCGCGGCGTCGAAGACGGCCGTCCCTGACAGACAAACAATGCAAAGTGGGCGACGGCCAGGTAGATGCTGGGCAGTTGCGCAACTGCCCGGCCATCATCCTTGGCAACGAATGCAGCGCGGCGGACGCCGCTGGGGCGTTGCGCGGCAAGAAATTACACCGCAACGCGTCGACGGCGGCGCTGCGCCGTCGCAGCCAGCGCGACCGCCCGCGGGCGGCGCGCCAGGCCTTTGCGGCTGAGCACCTCCCACGCTTGCGCAAACATCCCGCCCGCCCATGCGCGACATGGCAGGCAAAACGCACGTATTGCCGCCAACGCAAGCGCGCGCGGGCGGCGCGCCAGGCCGCCGCGGCCGAGCACCTCCCACGCTCGTGCAAACATCCCGCCCACCCATGCGCGACTTGGCAGGCAGAACTCACGCGGTCGCCAACGCAACCGCGCGCGGGGGGCGCGTCGGGCCGTCGCGGCTGAGCACCTCCCGCGCTCGCGCAAACATCCCGCCCACCCGCGCGCGACGTGTCTGGCAAAACTCCGTCGGTCGCGACCGCAATTGCAGCGTGGAGGTCGTCCGCTAATTCAACCGTGCTCGCTGACATTCGAGGCGACAGCGGGGGCGACGATCCCGACGACGTTTTCTGTCTCCTCTCCCGAGCTCAGTGCAGTTCAGGCCAGCGCAAGGTTTTAGCTGGCGGCCCTCGAGCAGCCTCCGCTCGGGGTCCGCGAACTCTTCTGGAAGCAGCAGACCGTTGTCGAGCAGGCTTTTCATTGCGAGGAGCTCACTCACGCACTCGGCCGCAGCGCGGGAGCTCGACGCCTGCGCGGGTGGACCCGAACCAATGAACCCAACACCTACGCCTATAATCGAACAGCCCTCGTCGAAAATACACACAAGATTGCTGAATTCGGTGATTGCGGGCTCGGCGCTACTCCAATGCTGACGGATGCCAGTTGACTCGGGCGCGGTGTTGCGCAAAAACCGACCCCGCCCCCTCAGCATTGAAGAGCGCGCTTTCTGAGATGTGCCCGCAAGCATCGTGCTCCAGGATTTCAACTTCCATGTCTGGATATGTTTGACGAGGCTTGGCCGTCGCATATGCACGCCCCGGTGGGCCCCGAACAGTGCGTTTTGAACCCGTGCCGTGCCATTAGCACCACCCGCGGTCGCGCAAATATCCCAGCCGTCGACCCGCGATGTGGTCTGCAACACTCATGCGGGCTCGCGCAAACATCCCAGCCGCCCACCCGCGACTTGGTTGACAAAACTCCTGAGGCCGCGACTGCTCTCACGGCGTGGAGATCGCGCGAACTCTCACGAGCTCGTCTGGAATCTCCTGGTAGGTCGATCCAGCCAGACACGACGCCGCGCAGGAGCGGCGACAGCTGGGCGCGTGGGGCCACGGCGGAAGGCGACTCCGGCCGGGGGGCCTCGGGCGCGCGAAGCGGCCCGCGCGCGGCGTCTGCGGGAGGGCTCGATCGAGGCTGGCGGCCACGGCGGGAGGGGCGCCGATCGCTCCGCCATCGCTCGCGCCCGCGCTATATCTTCTGCGACTGGCGATGGCCGAGTAGTCGCGCAATAGATACCCGCAGCTACCCGGCCCTCTAGCCCACATGACAAAAGTTCCCCAGGGACGGCCGTCTCCGATGTCACGGCGACCCGGCGACCCATTATTCACGGAACAACGACCGGGTCAACATCCACGACGCCTTGGCCTCTATGAAAGATTATGGCCTGGGCGGTTGCGCAGAGACCCCGCCACAACCCGACCGCCGTCGACTTCACATTGGTTTTTTGACAGGGACGGCCGTCTTCGACGCCACGGCGACCCATTATTTACACAACAACTACCAGGGCACATCCACCGCGCCTTGTTTTTTTTTTTTTCCGCGGGATGATGGCCCGGGTAGTTAGCCCTTGATTGCTTCTCAAAAGTAAAAGGATCCTTCTCGTCTTTTATAAACTCTACGTTTGCCCAACTACCCGGGCCATCATCCCTTTATATATGCACAAAAAAGCGCGGTGGATGCGCCCGTGCGTAGTTAATGGGTCGCTGCGACGTCGAAGACGGCCGTCCCTGACAAAAAAAAGCAATGCAACGTGTGCGACTACATTTGGTCGTTACCAGCACAACCACATGGTGGAACACCAGCACAAGCACCAGGGCAACCACCAGCACAAATGCCATCAGCACTACCACCAACACAACCACCCGCACAACCCCCAGCAAAACAGTCAGCACAACCACAGGCACAACCACCAGCACAATTACCAGCAGCAAAACACCGAGCACAACCAACATCACAACCACCAGCACAACCACCAGCACAACCTCCCGCAAAACCACCCGCACAACCCTCCAGAACAGCACAACCACCAGCACGGCAACCCGCGCAACCACCACCAGCACAGCCACCAGCACAACCACCCGCGCAATCGCCAGCCCAACAAATACCAGCACAACCACCAGCACAACCACCACCAGCACAACCACCAGCACAACACCCAGCACAACCACCAGCACAACCACCAGCGCAATCACCAGCACGATCACTCGCACAGCCACCACCAGCACAACCACAAGCACATGCCCCCGGCCAGTCGTCAGCCAAACAACCTCCAGCAATTTGTTTCAGCACAACAACCCGCTGAGCCACCAGCAGAGTTAACCAGCACCACACCCACCCGTACAACCACTCGCACAACCACCAGCAGAACCACCAGCACGAACACCACCAGAACAAACGCCAGCCAAACCACCAGCGCGACCACCAGCACAACCGCGAACACAACCACCAGCACAACCACCAGCACAACAACCAGCGCAACCACAAGCACATCCACCCGCACAACCACCAGCACATCCACCACCAGCACAACCATCAGCACACCAGCCAGCATAATCATCAGCAGAACCACCATCACAGCCACCCGCACAACCACCATCACGACCACCACCAGCGCAGCCAGCAGCACAATCATCCGCACCACCACCAGCACAGCCTCCATCACAACCATCCTCGCAGTCGCCAACCACCACCCCCAGCACAGTCGCCCGATGAACCACCAGCAGACCCACCAGCACGACCGCCCGCGCAACCACCACCACAACCACCAGGCCAACCTCACGCACAACCACCCGCACAACCACCGCGAGCGTAGTCACCATCACAGCCGCCAGCACAACCACCAGCAGCGCAACCACAAGCGCAACTAGCGGCACAACCACCAGCACAACAACTCGCACAACCACCAGCACAACACCACCAGCACAACATCACCAGCATATCATATCACTCGTCCAAGACGGGGCTCGCGCGGCGCCGCCACATTGAGAACAGATGCTGCGACGCGGCCTCTCTGTCTGGAAGCCCGCCAAGAAGCGGCGAGGCCGGCGCGACATCGCCATCAAGGACCGGCGCGCCACCCTCTCCATCCCGTTCAACGGCTTCCGCCGCGACCTCCGAGCGGAGCCTGAGTGGCCTGACGCTCTCTGTCATGTTTAACCTCCCCTCCCCTTTCCGCTTTGTGACAGACAGGGTCTCCACAGCCGTTTGGGCTTTTCGGGCACTGGCGTGCTCAGGACTGCATTGATACTTGGTGTTCGAAGACGTTCAACACGCGTCTTTCGCTCATCTGCGTGATCCCTGTTACTCCCATGCCTGCTGACAATGGTAGCGGAGCGTTGACGAGGCCGCGGGGGAGCACGGAGAGCAGGGCGATAATGGGGGACAGCGCTCGAGAGACACTGAGGAGCCAGCACAGTCTGCAAGGCCGCCAGGAGCCCATGCTGGCCCCAGAGACCAGGCCGCTGATCAGTGCGGATGTGTAGACCCGTGGGTGACCGTCATGACGCCGCCGAGATCAGCCACACATGGAGAAGAAGCAGCTGGAGAACGATCTCCGGGTAATGCCGCAGCCGGCGTTTCGTCCCGGGATCCCTCCGGCGGCTGGGGCGATTCAGCTCCTGGTTGAGGCGGGGACTGGAGCTGGCGGGACTCGGAGTTGGAGAGGCCCGGACTGGGGCGCGTCCGATTTTTGGCCCAGACGCCGTGACGATCAGAAGGAATACAGGTCTCCAGCCAACAAGGACACCACCTGTCCGCCGCAATGGTTAGGCATGGAGCATCTGAAGCTAGACGCCGCGAACACGAAGTCTTGGACAGCCAGGACAGCATGTCGTCCTGAAGTTTGAGCAGGCAGAGTGCTGGAAATGTATCCAGTGGAGCTTCCGGCGAACTTTCAGTCTATAAGAGAGTCTTCGGATGCCGCTGACGGGCTCGGCCGGATCCTGTCACACTGAGAGCTGTTGAACGGTCAGTGCCGTGGGGACAAGAAGAGAGAAGCACACGACGAGGCCATGTTCAGGAGAGGAGCGACGCTGACGGACTTCATAGTTGGGCGCGACAGCCCTCTGGCCGCAGGTGAGAGAATGGGTCTCGTACTTCTTGACAGCGTCAAGGCACGTTGCTATGAAGAGGGGTACGGACTGGCTGGACGAACTCGAGTGAATCTACGCACCCTCATGAATGAAAATAAGGGATTCCGAAACCGTCAGGACTGCGATACTACAGCTAGACATGTCCGACGAGGGCATCCTCCAGAAGTTTCAGGTGCCCTCCACTTCCAAGACGTTCGCCGCCTTCGACGATGACGACGAGATCAGCGAGCAGGACGGGGGCGGCTGTTCAGGACTTTTCGAGACCGACTACGACGAGGATGGACTGACCACCATACTGATTTCCTTTGAAAACCAAGTCCTGGGAGAAGAAGATGCATTGCGAGTGTTTGCTGAGGTCACCGCCAACTTCCGACGCAAGGCATGGCAGGAGCCGAGGCGAATGGAAAACAACCGCTGGGTCGACCGGGCCTTTTTTGATCGTGGTCGCGATGGCGCGCCAGGTGGAAAAGACAAGGGCAAGTTCCGAGGGCTGCGGCACTCCGATCTCAAGCAGAAATCCAGGTGCTCGAATTGTGGAGATGGGGGGCATTGGCGAGAAGACTGCAAGAAACCGTTCCGCAACGAGGCTGATCGCGCCACCGACGGCTGAGCGCTTCGTGGCCGCATAGGGAGCTCCACCGAAGGCTCCACTGGCACAGGCCGCATGCGTCAACGCCACCCAGGACAGCGCTTCGTGGCCCCATAGGGAGCCCAACCGAGGGCTCCAGTGGCACAGGCCGCATGCGTCAACGCCACCCAGGACAGCGCTTCGTGGCCCCATAGGGAGCCCAACCGAGGGCTCCAGTGGCACAGGCCACATGCGTCAACGCCAACCAGGACAGCGCTTTGTGGCCCCAAAGGAGGCCCCACCGAAGGCTCCAGTGGCACAGGCCGCATGCGCCAACGCCACCCAGGACAATGCTTTTCGTGGCCCCATAGGGAGCTCCACCGAAGGCTCCAGTGGCACAGGCCACACGCGTCAACGCCACCCAGAAGGCTTTAGAAGTGGCACGTGTCGCATGCGTCAGTGCCACCCAGGACAGCGCTTCGTGGCCCCATAGGGAGCTCCACCAAAGGCTCCAATGGCACAGGCCGCATGCGTCAACGCCACCCAGGACAGCGCTTCGTGGCCCCATAGGGAGCTCCACCGAAGGCTCCAGTGACACGGGCCGCATGCGTCAACGCCACCCAGAACAGCGCTTCGTGGCCCCATAGGGAGCCCAACCGAAGGCTCCAGTGGCACAGGCCGCATGCGTCAACGCCACACAGGACAGCGCTTCGTGGCCCCATAGGGAGCTCCGCCGAAGGCTCCGCTGGTACAGGCCGCATGCGCCAACGCCACCCAGGACAGCGCTTCGTGGCCCCATAGGGAGCTCCACCGCAGGCTCCGGTGGCAGGGTCCGAATGCGTGACAGCGCTTCGTGGCCCCATAGGGTGCTCCACCGAAGGCCCCAGTGGCGGTGTCCACATGCGTCCGCACCACCGATTTCGGCGCACCCCTCGCACATTTCGTGGCCGCAAAGGGGGCTAAAGCGGTACCCACAATGCGGCACTCGCAGCTGCATATGGTTGGGTCCTTCGTCAGGCTAGTTCTCATCCTCGCAAATCACGCCCACTTGTCCTCCAAGGTCGGGGTTCCTGGCAAAGTCATGCGTTTCTTTCAAAATCCGCCTGCAGGAGGCCATGCCCGACTCAAACTGATTGAGAATGTGCAGTTCGGTAGGGTGTGGGTTCAGCTTCGACCTGGTGTTGTCGGACGCCCGAGCAGCAGAGACACGGCCATCGGATCATACTGTTTTGGCGGAGCACTCCAACCTTTGCAAAGAGGGCGCGCGGACGCCGTGCGAGCAGCACGCCCCCGGGGGGCATGGATTGAGCTCTCAGTTGGGCGGCACGACGCGTGCGAGGGGTGCGCCGAAATGGGCGCGGGGGCGCCACGCGGTTACGCCCACTGGGACGCTCGGTGGAGCTCCTTGCGGGGAACAGAAAGTGCGCGGGGCATGCCGAACTTAGCGCGGGAACACCATGCGGGCACGCCTACTGGGGCCATCGGTGGAGCTCACTGGGACACAGAGAGTGTGCCGAAAGGGGCGCGGGGACGCCATGCCAGCACGCCCACTGGGGCTCCCTTTGGGGCACGAAGCGTGTGAGGGGTGGGTGTGCCGAAAGGGGCCTGGGCTGGAAGAGGAGGAGGAGGAGGAGGAGGAGGAGGAGGAGGAGGATCTCGGATCTTCCTGGCTCGAACTATAGGGCCAAGCGTGCTCGGGGTGAGCGACTTTCCAAGGTTTGCCTTGCATCCTTCCCCATCGGCCCATCCTTGGCCGCTTTCGCTGGCCGTTCCCCGCTCGCAAAATGTCGACATGGCCTTCCAAGGCCCTTGCATCCTCATCGTGCGTCCCTATCCTACGGGGTGACTGTAAAGGAGTGTTGTCCTCTGAGCTTTGGCTGAGGACGCTGGGTCCCAGCTCAGCACGCCAGCCTGCCGCGCAAGCCTCTGCGCTCCCCCAGTCGAGCGGCTCCAGCACGATGGCCGATGTCATGGCTCGCGTGTGCCTTTCCCCTCGGCTGGGCCCAAGTGGCGCGTTCCAAAAAGGGCCTTGCCTTCGAGGATCGAAGGAGTAGCCATCTCTTCCTCGGCGGAAGGCTGTGGAAGGCGGCAGAAGTAAAACCAGGCCGCCTCCGCTGGCGGACGCCGGCGGGAGCAAGAGTCGACTTCCCAAGAGATGACATCCTGTTTGGGTTCAGGGTTTTCGGAATCCGGCATGGCCTTGGTACCAATTGTGTAGCTGATGATCGCCCCTGTCGCTGAGGCTCCCACACCGCGACCGCGCTTCCCCCGTACAGGCACTCTGCCGCCGTGGCCCGAGCGCCGTAGGAAGTGGAGGGCCAGTGTCAATCCAAGACGCACCAGCAAGATTGCAATGCGTAAGCTCTGACCAGGAGCAGTGAGTCATACATACAATGGTTGTTCTGTTGTTGATGGGGTGATTTCAAAGTCTCTCGGATCTGGCCTCTTCAATGGCCCCAACCCGCGCGTCGCGCCGGCCTCGCATTCGCAATTCCATGGTTACTAGCTGCGAAAATGGTCGCGCCAATTTGCGCTGCTTGGCATTTCTCGAGAACGGGCTCGAGCAACCCAGAACATGCCGGGAAAACTTCCAGAGGGAGGGAGCCGGAGGAGGGAGCAGGAGGAGGGGGCAGCAGGAAAGGGTCCACCACATTGCGAGACATCGGAAAACCTACCGCGAGGGGCGGGGGGGGGAAGATGAGGGAGAGGGAGGAGGAAGGGGAGGACCATCACGTGGGGCTCATGTCGAAAACGTCCGCGCAGCGCCCCGAGGGCGAGGAGGGACGAAGGATGATGTGCAGGGGGACTCGAGCACGGCCACGAGCGGGCCACAGCGCGCGGAGTTTCGAAGCACGGCCGCCAGCAGCGGCCGACAGCGGCCGACAGTGAACCCCTGGGATTCATCCAAAGACCTCCCCCAGGGGCGCCCCGGGATTCATCCAAAAACCTACAGTCGGGGCCCTGAAGAAGGAACCCTTTTGGCTGGGGAGGGGCTCCGCGTTCCTTAAGTGTTTCGCAGCTTGCCTCAGGTGTTCCTTAGGTTTTCGATAGGAAATCGAAGTTTAGCTTATGGAAAATAGGGACCTCGTTCCTTATTCAGGGTTCCTTAGGTCAACGCCCCGACTGTATCCGACGCGCGGCCACTGGGAGCCTCCGGGAAGCTTCTGGAAACCCACGTCTATTTCTGCGGAGGCTTCCAGATGTCGCCACCGCCGACGCCGACGCCGTCGCCGCCGTCGCCATCGAAAGGGATTGGGGATGGTTTTCATCCTCTGCTCCAGGGCGCGAGCGGAACACCGGTCACTTGGGCCCCGCGCGCCGCGCCGCCCACGCGATGCGGTGGCTAACGGCTGCAGGGCCTCCAGCCGCCACTGCAGCTATCTCCGTGGGCTTCACGAATGGCCAGGCCTCTTCGGCCCAGACTATGGCCGCGCCGTCGCCGTAAAGCCAACGGCGGATGACATGCTTCATTCTGGCGCACCAGAAGTTCACGACGCTGACGGCCACGTCATCGGTGTATGTCTCCGCGTGAAGAGTACTGGTGTGCTGCATCCTCGTGGCCCCACAGAAATCTGACGCCGGCCCTGCTCGCGTCTGTCCACGGTTGGCATCGCGCGCGACCCCGAGGTGCTCGAGCGTCCAGCGCACTCCACGGATTGATAAGTAGAAGGGGCCCCCGACGTCCCCGACGGCATTGGCCACATGATCTCGAACATCCCATAATTCGAACAGCGCATCATCCGCAATGCGTTTCCCAACCTGCGCGGCCGGGTCGAAGTCGCGTCTGCCCGAAGCGGGCGAGCGGCGAGACACCGTCAGGCCGCATTGTTGGCAGCGGGCCGCGCGACCTCGCGTAGGAAACAATTCGACGAACACGCGCTGCATGTCGGTCTGCGATGACAAAGTTACAATGTACCGTCCCTCCGAGTTTCCTCTTCACAGGTCCACACACGTAATTGTATTAATTACGGGAAATTCCCCGCTTGAGAGCAACATAATCATAATATCCAATCATGCCAAAACACGATTCTTGGCCTCGCGAATCAACGTGGCCGCTGTGGCCTGACAGTCCTAAATCGTTCCAGAGCACCCTGCCTGAGACTACAAGACAGCGAATCAACGTGAGTATTGCGTCTGGACAGTCCTAAATCGTGCCAACAGACCATTCGTGGGATTTCAGCCATCCGAATCCTTCGAACCGCTGCATACGTTCAAGGCGGACGTGCGCGGCGATAGTGCGAGGGCAACATTTTGAAACCGGTCGTCCTCCATCCGCCGAATTGTTGCAATTTTTGAATACGAATGCGCGCGGCGTTAAGGCGATAACCACATTTTGAAAACGACCCGTCTTCTATCCGCAGAGTTGCTGCAATTTGTACGACGAAAGTGCGCGGCGCCATGGCGAGAGCCACGTTGTGGGACCGGCCCGCCTTCCATCCGCGGAAGCGTTGTTACTTTTTCAGACGCATGCGCGCGGAGCTACGGCGAGAACCACATTTTGAGAACGACCCGTCCTCCGTCCGCGAAGTTGCTGCAAACTCTTCGGGCGAATGTGCGCGGCGCTGCGGCGAGAACATTTTTGTTGGGACGGGCCGCCCTCCGTGCATGAGACTGCTGCAGATTTCAAGCTTCAGGGTTTTCAGTGGTGGGGGGAAGTCGTAGGCGGAACGCCTGGCCCGCCCTGCCGACGCGTCCAGGGGTGCGTCAGGGAGGGGAAAAAGGATGGAGGAAGACGAGGAGGAGGGGGGAAGAGAAGAATGAGTAGGGAAGACGAGGGAGAGGGAAGGAGGGGGAGGGAGGCAGGGGGAGGGAAGGAAGAGGGAGACGAGGGAGAGGGAAAGAGGGGGAAGAGGAGGACGAGGGAAAAGAGGAAGAGGGAGACGAGGGAGACGA